ATGCCTAGGAAAGAATGTGCCGAAGTCTGAGCTCTGCAGCCCTGATCGAGTGATCACAATTGCAATGCTTTCCAGGCTTGAATGCAAATATTAAATGCATTTTTTTAATATATTATTAATTATGCATTTCTTAATTTTTTTTCAAAAGGTGAACTTATCCTTTTAAGAGTTAAAATCGTGACCTTAGAGACAGTGTCACTCTAAGACTGATGTTTGCAAATGTTTATATACTCTCTAACAATAACTATTAGATACAAGTATTATGACCATATTAATAGAACTCTAGAGGTGATGTGGGGTGTAGTCGATTTTATGGCTCATGATGGTGGTGCATCCATAAACGGGTGCAGTTTTATATTTATTCTTGGATGCCACTTTAATGTGGATAGAATGAGAAGGGAGTGATCTAAAGAACCGATGTCGCTTTTTCCAGTACGGTTATGTCACAACTGCTCTAATGTCATTTATTTTAAAGCCCAATTAAATCATGGTGGTGGCAGCCAGTTTGCACAATATGAAAGTTTCTTAGGGGTTGTGCTTTCCTCCAATGACGCGTGGTTCGTGCTCCCCCCCGGATCCACTGTTCCTTCCAGTGCCATGTAATTTTTCCTTTTTACCTTTTGGGTCTACTATCTTATTGCTTTGCCCATTAGAAAGCCACTGATTATGTAACTTCAGGGTGCATGTGCACTGGAATTACAATATCTCGGCACCCGGCTCCATTTCCTGCATCTTACAAATGCCGGGAATGGGCTGTGACTGTACACAGTACTGCGAATGCACCTCAATCAGTGCACAATACCAAAACTTGAAAGCGGGTAAGAAAATGTTTTATTCTTTTTGGCAGAGGAGACTGATAAATGCTCTTACTTCCACTTTAAGTGTGAGCATAGGAAGCCTGATTTCCTCAATTGCACACTTAAAGTTGAATAAAAGTGTAAACATAGTGCAGGAAACAGGCCGAGCTTGCAGCATTGTGTGTGTGTGTGCAATGTTTTCATCAACAGTTGCTAAAGGCCTGCCAGTACAGCTGAGTCTTACATTCAGGAATGTGGCCAACCCACTACTTGCAAGTCCTGACAGAGCCGCTCCTGAGCACGCAGAAAACCCGTGCAGCAATCGCTCATTTAAAGGGACACTGCAGTACACATTTGAAGTTTCATAAAAGGGTTACAATACTTCAAAGTCATTTTTAATGTGATGCTTGTTTAGATTTGCATGACTTTATCCCAGATTTTTACATTCTCCTTCAGCTCTCCATATGCACACGATGCAGTGCAATTGGCATCCAGTTGAATCACTGCCCAGATAAACCATTTGCCCGCACTGTTCTCCAGCTTTTTGTTTGTTTTTTTTAAAGTCTGCGATAGACTTTGGTTTAAAGGAAAAGTTTCCATTTAAAGTTGTTTCTGAAAGCCTTGCCATTTCCTTATGTGGTTTTCTAAAACGAGTGGTTAAAGACTGTGGTTAAGTCAGGGGTCATAAATATTTTTCAACTTTTTTTTTTTTTTTTTTTAGATAACCATTTGAAGCAGCCTAAAGTGCACCTGCACCCAGATCATAGACATTAAAGCAGTTGCATAATCTCGACAAGCAGTGAAATAGCTTCAAAATAAGCCCTAACTGGCCTCTCTAGCTGCATATACTGGGAAGTAATTCATCCTCAAAGATCACACTATAGACTCTAAAGTCAGGTTTCACTCTTTTTCTAACAGCTTAGAAACACCCGCTGTGTGTTTATATTAGCCAAGTTTTTGCTGCCAAAGAAAATAAGGCTGATGTCAGACAGGAGACTATGTTGCTAGAGATCCTGCTGATAGTGATATGTCTTCAGGAGGCGAATTTCCCATCTGACATCAGCTTTAGGAGAGAGAAGCTGAGATTTATTTTGCTTCTGGTGTGAATTTTGAGGATGAATTGCTCCACAGCACCATCAGCTACACAGGGTGGCGAGGGCTTGTTTTGAAGCTCCTTTACTACTTGTTAATAATATGTTAATACTTTAATGTCCATGTATAGTTCATTCTAATATATTTACAAATGGGCAGCCATGTTTGCTCATTGCCTATACATGCTGTACTTTCCTGCGGTAGAGCATGATACATGAATTATTGCTTCTCGGTGGAAGTCTGTAGGTCAACCCCAATCTATAATGACTCGCAATTTCTGTGCAATTTCCAGGCCTCTTGGGGGAGGTCAAAGTTTGGCATCCCCTCCCCAACATTATGGACTGTTGCTGCACTCATGTTAGGGGAAAGCAGTTTTAGCAGTACTTGCAAGGTGTATTTGCTAAGAGTTCCTCAGAAAGAGGATGCAGTAAAAATCTGCATCTATAACGGCAATATCAATTTTGGGCAGATTGCATCTTTAATTTTACACTACTTACATTTTTTCTGCATGTCCTTAACCCTGTCAATTTTTTTGTCTGGTCAAACAGAAATTACCTCGGAGACAGAGCTGCTGTGTACGAAGCATGAGGACGAAGCCAGCTCCATGTCGAGCACCGAGAACCTGGTGGAAGCCACCCAGAATACAAAATCTGAGGTACCTGACTTGCAGGAATATTCTTTTGGGGAACAGATGAGATGTATAAGGTTCAACCTGAATGGCTGCCAATTGTCAGAGTGTCCTGGGTTTCCATGAGTGCCTGGAAATGCTGGTTCTAGGAAATGTTCCATACTAAAATCTAGTTCAAGCCACATTTTAATTTTAAGGTTTTTATTTTTGTGTTTGACCACCCCCGAGAAAATTTTCCCTCCCTTCCTGTCCCTGTGACGCTCGCACAGTTAATGGGAAGTGCAGTTGTTTCAAACCGCAGTAAAAACATTTAGAGAGCTTCTAATCCTTCCCCCATTCTACCAAAAAAAATGTCTGTGTCCCTGCTGGGGAGATTTTCCATTACTTCCTGTTATTTTTCCTATAGCGATTTAATATAGCAAAGAGTCTCTCTGAGTCCAGCTAAAGTTCTTATTCGTTCTTAAGCTCTGGTGGAGGTTTGTTCCCCCTCTGTGAAAAATTAAAGATATTTGGACTCTTTCATGATTTTGGTCTGGTGCTCCTTCTATTGCTCTATGCTTTCAGTAACTTTCTGGGGACCAATAGCAGGGTAGCCCTTTCTATAGTCGAGCCAGTGAGCTTTTTGAATGCTTGTTTCCCTTCACTACTCTGTACAAATAAGTATTGAATTCCCAGTGGGGTTTTTTTTTGGATGTATCCTTATCCAAAGTACATATTTGTGACTTCAAAAAGCTTTCTTGCATGTCCTCAGCATTAAAGTGGAGTTGTTTTAGAATGCATTTAAATCCTTGATAGCTAGGTTTTAATATCTATTTTAATTTTTTTTTTTTTTTTTAAGGAGGTGGCCTGCCAATCAGAACCCAAGAAAAGTTCCACTCCCATGTTTGATAAAGACTACAGCCTCTCCGAGCTGCTGTCCCAACTGGATTCTGGGATCTCCCAGACCATGGAGGGACCTGAGAGCCTCTGTCACAGTGAGTCTGACCCTCAGCTGGCGACGAGCGACAAGCGCCTATCGGGAATCTCTTCCATTGACTCAGCTTTTTCCTCCAGAGGCTCTCTCTCCCTGTCCTTCGAAAGAGAATGTTCTGTAACAGGTAAGTTTTTGATGTTTTTACTGTTTGAAAGTAAGCTTTCAAAATGTACAAATAATCCCTTTCAGATTTAGCCTTGCATCATAAAGGTCTTAAAGTAAAACTTGCTTCAATTTTCTCCCAGAGATTTCCCCCGCTGTACTTTTCTGGTGCTAGATGTCCTCAGTCTGATCGGCAGCATTATTAAACCCACTTCCTTCGAGACCATGTCATCCTTACACTGGCTATACACCTATTGATTTTCTATGGTCAGGTGGAAAAAGTGCAACGGATTCCTCCATCTAGGCTAAATTGTGTGGATGGAGGAATCTCCCACTGGGCCAAGCTTCAGTATCTTGCTAGTCGTCCCCGCTGGCTCCCAAAACACCTGAAACAATGACTGCATCCAATCAGATTGTTCAGGTATTTTGACAGCCAGCAGGGCTGACTAGCAAGATATTGAAGATTGGCCCAGTGGGAGATTCCTCCATCCACACAGTTTAGCGTGGATGGAGGAATCTGATGCACTTTTTCCACCGACCATAGAAAATCTGCAGATAATCTTGAGGTGTATGGCCAGCTTTAGACTGGGAAGCACAGAACAAAGCCTTGATTGCCCTCACGCGGAGGGTGCGGCCTGCACCCGGGTGCCACCATTGGAGGGGTGACACCAAAATGACTGTCATTTTGGTGTCGCCCCTTATGAAATGTCGGTCACTCGGTCTCGGACAGAGAGCCCGACAGTGTCAGGAGAGAGGAGGGGACCCGGCGGCATACCTTATCCCGCCGGGTGAACGTCCCCTCCTCTCTTTCCCGGCGTCCATCACCAAGATGGCCGCCGGCAGGCGTCAAAAAGACCACTGCGCATGCGCGGCAACATGACGTCACGTCGGGATGTCACCCGATCACTGCCCCCGGGTGACACCCACCCTCAGGACGCCACTGATTGGCCTAGAGTGCTTCCTCTCCCTGCCTCTGCGCTGCCCTGCAGGGGGATTACAAGAGGACATTATGAATACAGATTCAGGTCCAAATGCCATATGTATGTTTAAAATAAAAACACATTTATAACTGGGTTCAATAGATTCAGATTTTTTTTTTTCCTCCTGAAGTTAAGCTTTGATTCATTGTAATAAATCTTTTACCTTTTTGTGTCTTAACGTTTTTGCAATGGTTACAGATCATTTTCTAATTGTTTTAATTTTTTGTATTCTTTTCCTGCACAGACCTCAGCACCACAGAGATCCAGAAGAAGAAGCTGATTGATGCCATCATATCTGGAGACAACGCAAAGCTATTAAAGATTCTGCAGCCACAGGACGTTGAACTGGTTTTGGATGGAAGGTCAAGCCTCCTTCACTTGGCCGTTGAAAATGGACAGGAGGAGTGTGTCAAGCTGCTACTTTTGTACAATGCCAGCCCTAACATGACCAACGCAAAGGGCTCCACTCCTCTCCACATTGCCGCAGAGAAAAAGTTTAAAAGTATTGTGGAGCTGCTTCTTTCAAAGAAGATAAACCTCAATGCTAAAGATGAAGACCTGTTCACTGCTCTACACTTTGCAGCCCAGAACGGAGACGAGTCCATAACTCGTCTTCTCCTGGATAAGAACGCTTCACTCAGCGAGGTCGACGGCAAAGGCCGAACACCACTACACGTCGCCTGCCAACACGGCCAAGAAAGTATCGTCCGCCTCTTTCTCCGGCGAGATGCAGATGTTGGCGTGAGAGGTCTGGAAAACTGGGTATCCCTGCATTACGCATCCTGGCAGGGTCACCTAAACATTGTGAAGCTTCTTGCAAAACAGTACAAGGCCAATCTCAATTCTCAGACTTCTGATGGCAGAACCCCTTTGCACCTTGCTGCCCAAAGAGGTCATTACCGAGTGGCTCGGATCCTCGTTGAACTTGGCTGCAATGTGAACCTTCCAAATGCACAACTAAAAACCCCTCTGCACATTGCAGCCGAGACTGGCCACACTAGCACAGCGAGGTTTCTTATCCACCATGGTGCCAACATTAACGCTACTTCTATAGAAGGCTACACCGCTCTTGATCTAGCCAACCATCACCGCCATTATTCGGCTGTTAAACTCATCATGGATGAAAGATCAAATATCAGATATGAGGAGCAATCCATTGCATTTGTGGAAAACGTATAGGGGTTAATTTTCCAAAAACACTGACATTGGGACTTCGGGAAGATCCTGATACGGCTGGCAAGCATAATCATCTCCGTGCTTCTGATTTTCATGGATGCTGATCTATGGGCATAATTGGATATGGATCATATCAAGCCAAGCCTTTAGCGGTGTGCTTTTGACATGCCTTTCCTGTAGGAAGCCGAGTTAAAACCGTCAGTGTATAATGTAATTCAATGAGAAGAACAAACTCAAACCAAGAGACAACTTTTTGAAACGAAAGAAACTCCTCCTTGGCTTTCATTTTTGCTGTATTCCTGTCCGTTCTTGGATAATATTTCACTCTTGAGAAACATTTCTGCGTTGGTCATCTGTGGACAACTTGTCCATCTCAACTTTTTGAGACTAGTTGCAAGGTCTTTCTCCACCTAATGGAGCTTGGCAAGGAAGCATGAACAAAAAATGTTTAATCATGTACACATGTATGGTCAATGACCACAATTTTATGTTTTTTTGTTTTTTTTATCTTAAAATGTAAAACCTTTTTAAACAAGCTGAAGATTAACCAAATCATCTAGTACTGAAATGGTTGGTAGATTTTATACTTGGGACACAACATTTTATAAGGCAGTTGGCAGTGTGCAATGTATTCCTGTAACGCTCCCTATAGCATTTTTTTTAAACCTTAGAATCAGAGCTCCTTTCAAAGACAGGGTTGATGCTTTTGACAGGCTGCACATATGTTTTATTTGTGCCCATAGTTCCACTTTCTATTCTCGGCCTAATTCTTATTGAGTCTTATGTCTGCATCCACAGTTCAAAAGGTGTAATAGAATGTTCCAGCAGTTTGAACTGGTGGCCGATTTTGCCTTTAGAGATTCCTTCCACACATCACTAAATTTCAGAATTATTATATGTGGTTAGCTCAGTTCTGTGCCATCACTGAAATGCTGATGCCGTTACAGTTTGCTTATCAGTTTTAGCAATTATAAGGAAATAGTTCTCTTTTGCTGCTCATCCATTCTCCTTTTTTTTTTTTTTTTAACCTTTTGGATGCAACAAGAGTAAGTGGCCCTCTTACTAAAGGTGCCCATACACTGGCAGGATTTCGGACGGTTTTTAATGTACTGGCCGAAATTTGCACAGTGTGTGGTGGTGTCGGCTCCCTTTCAGCCGGCATTCCTCGATCAGTTGATTGAAGGAGCCTGATGGAACATCTTCATGCGATCAGACCCGGCAGCCAATGAGCTGCCCATTCTGATCGGGTATTCTGACAGGTGCTGGCAGAACCTGACAGAATACAATGCACACAGCGGCGACACACTGTTTGTGCTAATGGAGGACTCGCGTCATTTTCTTTCGTTCTGGCCACGGGTTGAACGAAAAACAATTGACAGGTATATGGCCAGCTTTACCGGTTGTTGCAAGCATGATTTCACCCTACCTGCATTTGTTCAAAACCAGTGTATCCATTGAGACTGAATTGTGCCTTAAGGCTAACTTCATCCAGAACAGATCTTTCAGAGTTCGTGGTTATGGGCAAATCAAATTAAATATCAAACCTGTTTAACTCTCTGACACTCAAGTGATTGAGTTTCCTGCTGGAATATCAATTTGATAAACGCTGCAGCAGTTACGAAGGCGAGTGATGGGATCGATCCACCCTGACGGATTCTCTGTACTATGGGGTAAACCATTACCTCGACAGTTAAAATTATTCGGTGCTTTGCCCATGCAGGGTAAAGAACAGGTTCACTTTAACCCCCTTCCCTTCTCAGCAGTGCATACGCTACTCGCCTTTCCTTTGCTCTCCTGCTGTCGTGTTCAGCTGCTGGGCACTTGAGAAGCTGCACTGTGCAATCTACAAATCACTAAAGTTAGAGCTTACACGTGCTGGTTTTTTTATTTGGCCCAATGCTGTCACATTAAGTGAGTTACATGCTCCTTCATACCTGCAAGTGCTGGGTATTGTCATCATCCAGCAGCTGAATGGAGCAGAGGTAGGAGAGGGGGTTATAGAGAAAGGCACGTATGTCCTGCTGGGGAGGGATCAGCACATACTCTCCTTTCCTGATAGGCAGCCCAGCAACCAACTGGGGACACTTACACGGCGGGCTGACATCACTGCTGCTAATTGCAAGGCAGCGGCTTACCGTTGTAAGTGCTGGTAGGCTCTCCAAGTAACAAACTTTTATAACTGATTTGCTTAAGAAAACTGTATACAGTGAGACCAGATATCCAACAAACGCCAAATAATTCAGGGTTTGCACACACACACTTTATAGACAACCTGTTGCCCTGCAAGGGCCAATCTAAGGTTTGCAATAAAGTTGTCAAATGGAGATGTTATGGCCGTGCGGGAGGAGGCAGGAAACAAACCGCTATGGGGTCATATCTCCATTGAAGACCCTGCGAGGTACAAGAGCAAAATATAAATAGTTGGCCTTTGGGTATTTAAATGCATTATATTGGCAAGTACTAATTGAGCTAATGAACCAAGCATGCTGCAAAATTAAAGTCATGTATAACCAGACACTAGGGCCCCCACAAACATTGCATCTTGCAGTGAAGTGAATTCGTTAATAGAATCCACCTTGTTGGGCTGTAGTGGTTTAGCATGGTCACTCCCTTTTCTTGACAGGCCGATGATGCCTCGCCTATACTCATCCATCACACCGCAGCTGATTGCCCAGACACGTGCGTTTGCTATTGCAAATCCTATTAAAACGATGGTGTATCCTTAAAGTACATTATCTTGGGGATAAACAATTGCTTATTTTGTAACATGTATATATGACTGTAATTGTAATACACAGTTGGCATGAATATACTGTGTATATTGTGTTTTTAGCTGCTCACATATAACCACTGTGTGTAACTCTTTCTATGACAGAACATATTTTTGGAATCCATGGATTGTGTATGTTTTAGTACACTGATTGTATTTTTTTTCACTTTATACATTTTGTGTTGACATTTTTACAAATAAACTATTTTACTACTGTTAAAAAGTGTCCATTGATTAACTTTTATAGTGTATGTCATAGCAAAATGACAAGAAGAGCAGGCAGTGGAAATGGTAATGCCCCCTCAAATTAGTGGTCAGCCTCCCCCGCCCATTAACATTGGTGATGACTGTGTGCCCACTATATTGATGGTCAATGAAGAAAGCACCCCTTGCATTGGTGGTCAATAGAAGTGTGCCTCCACGGATGGTCAGTGGAGAAGGGTCTCTTACAATTATGGTCAGTAGGACAAGGGACCACTTACAGGTAGACAGTTGGAGGAAGAATGTTTACATTAGTGGTTACATTTGTCTTTAGTCAAGGAACTGCTACCGGTAGTAACCTTTCACAGAACCCTGTTTTGAGAAAGACTGGTATAGTAATTATCGTAGCTAATATTCCCTGCCTCTATTCTACATATAGTAGAATACAGTACAGTACAGAATACAGTGTGACGAGGTAAGCATGTTAACGATGGGAAAGTTATCAAAAATTAGTGTTTCTAAAGCCAAATTTTTTTGTTGGATAGTGTAAGGAATGGTGGGAACCGTTGTCAGGTTTTTATTGCTGTCACCACTGGGGAGATTCTGTAGGATATAGAAAATCCTAAAATTTGAGTTGTCCCCCAGAACGGGATTGGAGGATTTCCCTTACTTTGGAGAAATCTCCTTTTACTTCCTGTTGTGCCCTGAGACGCTGAGAATGAGTGTACAAAAATCATCCAATTCCTTACCCTATCCAAAAACTTAAAAAACAAAAACAAAAAAAAAGGCTTTAGATCTACTTAAAGGAGAACTATGGGGTCAAGTCTTTTCCCCTATAGTTCTCCTTAGGGTAACGGGAGGACACAAACTAGCGTCCTCCCGTCACCCTAGGCTCAGTATACCGCGAGCTGTAGCTCGCGGTATACTGAGACGCCGCAGCTGAAGCGGATCCCGACAATTGTGCCGGGATCCGCCCAGCTACGTGACTGACAGCTGGCTTTGCCAATCTAAAGGCAGAGCCAGCTGTACCCGCCCCCTCCCCCATCTGTTCCGCCAGTCAGCGCTGGTGGATCGGGGCGGGCAATCCAGCCCCTCCCCTGTCACGGCAGAGAGCCGTGACAGGATCAAGAGGTGAGCGAACGCCGGTATGTGTTTGCTCACTTCCCGATCTACTGAGCCGACCTGTGACAGTCTCATTGTCACAGGTCGGCTAGAACTATGAGGTGAGTGAAAAGCATTCACCTCATAGTTCTCCTTTTAACTTTTATTTTATCTGAAAATACACAACATTTTAAACCCAATAGTTATGGGAAGAGGATACTCAAGGGCCCATTCATACCATAGCGTTGCACTAAGTGCACAAGATCCGTGCACTTGGCGCATGCTGTTGCACAGTGCCACATGCAAGGTGTGTTGCATTGCCGTTCATTCTGAATAGCACTACAAAGCACCTCCCAGTGAGCATGCCTTGCAGGAGCATGCAACAGGCGGTACTGCAATGACACGTATTGTGCTGCCATGCAGTGATAAAAAGTAGTGTATACGCAGCGTTTCAGTGCCCACCCGCCTGGAGGTGCATTAGGTTGCCTTTTCAGATTTAGCGACAACCCAAAGCAGCAGCACACCTAGCACATGGTTCCTGCGTGGTAAATGTAGGGATCCGGCTGATTTTAGCACAATGTTATGGTGTGAATGAGTTCTTAAATAGATCTCTGACGCAAGCCATTTGTTAGGGAAAGTCACACAGACATTTACGAGAGCAGCAGTTCATCCTGCCAAGGTGCAAAGGGTGGAACCTGAGCTTTTGAAGCTGAAGATTTCTTGATTGGTACATGAGGTGTATCATCGCACTACTTGCCTCTCCCCAATTCAGGGATCTTGCAATCCTGGGCAACTTAGAATCCTGTACTGCAAGAAATATGGGGCCGGCTGATCTACTTCTGAAAATGCTAGATGGTTGGTTCTTCCTGTAATACATTGAATCGCAACCCTGGAACAAGCATGCAACAAAGGAAGCCAACATTCCCAATAAACATATTTGTT